CCGCATAGAACGACCTATGTACCTAGCTCCGCAAGAGCAGGTGAACTGATATATGCACATTGAAGTGGTCATATGCGGAAGTCTATCCTTCCCATTGCTCCGAAGTAGTGGGCGGCTAGAGAATATCACTCTTAGAGTTGCTGCCGGAAAAGTCTTCTTCAGGGATTTGGAGATTCTCATTTTAAGGACATCTGCTGCTGAGTCTCCTCTGAATTCCAGATCCAAATAGACTGTCTTCTTTTGCACTGAAGCGTATTCTTCTCTTTTTGGCCTTGGTTTCATGTTCTTCTCCATGCGGTGGGTATCCATTTTGAATAGGTGTGTGCACAAAAACTATTAAAGTGTAAGTATATTCCACTCCATATCGACTTTCGGTAAATTGATCCCTGGATACTACCATCTTCCAGGAGTTGCATGGTAATGTCAAGGAAATGGAACTTTCCATTATTTTCATGTTCCATAGCAAATTCACTGTTTGTATGTGCGTCGTTGAATGATCTTAGTAAGTAAGAAACATATCTTTCATTGCTGCATACTACAAATATGTCATATATTGACAATAAGAAGTTGTTTCATCGATTGCATGCTTCAGCTTTGTCCTCTCAAGGTGTTTGGACATGAAGATATCTGGTAAAACAGGGTTAAGTGAACTGCCCACAGCTACACATCGTCTATTTGGTGGTAAAGAGTGTTGTCAAACTGGAAGTGTACATCCGTGGTACATATTAGCATTAGGCGTTTTAATTCCCACATTGGGAGTGGGAGAAGTTCAGAATGCTGATAAATGATCTTCATAGTTCCCTTGTTAGTTTTACCTCTTAGGAAAGTAGATAATTTTTTGATGAAATCTGTGAGGCAGGTGAAACCATGGATGATTAGTTGTAATATGGGTTAGAACGGTTAAGGTGCGGGAAAAATTCTTCCTATTTGATTGAATTTAGGGCTTGTATAAACTTTCTAATTCATTTCAATAGTGATTACGTCTTGAGTTAATATTAGTTAGAAGAACATTGAAAACCAGGGTGGGTTGAGATATCTGAGCGCACTTTTGAAGAGACAGTCAGAGTAGGAGAAAACACTTTTTTCCATTTCTACTTGGCTTTCAGTTGTTCTAACTGATTCTAAATCCAAAATTCCTACAAACTCTAAACTGAGTTGTCAATGTTCTGTTCACTTGTTGCTTTATTTATTATTGAGAAGTAGAAGCCAATAGATGGTACCGGATGTTGGTGGTGCCATATCATTTATTAATAGAAGATGGAGATCACAGATTATTGGAGTCTAACCCAGTAACCGAATGGTTAACGACCTCCTCCCGGAAATTCAAGGTTCCGGATTCAATTTGCGTTGGGTTTATTGAAGAATCCCAAACTAGGATAAAACATCTGTTAGGACTGCTTCCTGATTCTTAACGGCTCTTTAACTTCTTCCTCACTTTGTTTGAATGTGGCAGTAGAGTTCTTTTAAAAAGTCAGGAGAGATAATTGCAATCGATTTATATAGCCAAAGGTTTGAGTTACGCGTAGAGACCGAAACACAGGATTTGTCTAAAAACAAGGTTTGAAAACATTTATTTCCCGATGCGAATTTAAAACAAGCAATAAGGGTTAATAAAGCAGGATTTAATGAATTCATCAAATTTCGGTAGAACTCGTCAGCTGATTCAGAGTCACGACCATCTCCTTTTGTACACAGAGACCTGGTTTGTAAACTCGAATTGCACAAGCCTCTGCAATTGCAAGCATCTTCTTGTTCTTTGTCTGCTGACAATAGTGAATGACTTGACCGCGTCGATATCATGTCCGTAATCCACAAGATGCTTTGTTATTGAGGATTTGTTCTGACAGTACTGTTGAGCATGAAATAAAATCCCTGAAGGATATCTTATCTAAGAATGGATATCCTGAGAAGTTCATTAATAAATACTCTAAAGAAAATAGCCCCTGCAAAACAATCAAACAGATCCGAAGAAACCTGTCTATATCAGTTTGCCGCCCCCAGTGTATAGTCCAAGGATTCAAATAAAGAATGCTCGATGGAGAGCAGAACACGAAGAAACAAAAATGTACAGCAGATAGCGTTAAGCCCTAGGATTATTATTACGCCAGACTAAATATGATATTGATACAGTAAGTGAGATCAACTCTAATGGAAATCAATAACTACGGTTACGGTGTAACGATATGGTAAACAAAAATATAAACCCATACTACTTATTAGTAATGAGTAGTATGAACATAAACACAATTGAAACAGTAATAAAGAATAGATAAGAAAGCAATACACCATAGGCTTATCATGGGACATACCAATAATGACAGTAGGTGGGGGGGGGATAAGTAGTTCAGTAGGGAGAACTTATCAGCGAGTTCATTCTCAGTAGCTGTACAATCGCCATTTAGAAACACTGGATTGATTAGGCAACAGAAAATATTCTCATGAGTTTGTTTGTGGGGATTTGATTTGTTTCAAGTTTGGAAACGATCGATATCAGTTAGAGAACCATTGAAAACCAGGGAGTACTGGAGTCCTAGTTCGGGAATAGGACGAAACACTTGTCCAATACTCCCTATTGGTTTTCAATGGTTCTCAATCCGTGATCAATATCTTGAAACAAAATAAGGTCCTTACAAATTAACCTGTTAATCGCTAGTGACTGACTGCAAGACGGAGTTGACTGGAGTTCTAGTGATAAGTCGTGTGTAACCAGTGAGGTCCACTTGGTCGAGAGTGAGAACATCTACTCACCAGCAATGACATTGACTGGGGCCAGTCGCGCTGAATCCTCGAATTTGTAGAAGTTAGAATTCATGGACTAGTCGTTGAATAGGGTCCCAGTGAATGAAGGGTCTATGAGCTCGACTTGTACGAAGGTCGTTGCTTCTAACTCTGGTGGCGGGTGAGTCTGGAACTAGGAGAAAACAGGTGTCCAGTATTCCTTAGTGGTGGTTTTCAATTGTTCTCTAATCGATATCAATATGTGATCAAAATTGATGGAATATTCTTTCCAACAGCCGCTTCATCAGGTTCTACAGTTACATATTTATAATAATTAAAGAACAGAAGTTATTGACACTATTGCTTTTAAATAAATTCACACCAATAGTATCACAGTAGATTACAGTTCATAATATCTACCAATTCAGCTGCCATTATGGATCCAGTTATACTGATCAGTCAGTCATTCTCTAAAGAGTATGGACGTGTAACTGTAGTATCTGGAGAAGAATAGGAAGAAGAAAAGGCTATCGGAATGAATATTCCTGGTTCATTAATCTGTTTATTTTTTGAAGTCATTTTCAATGAATCTTTTTCCAAAAGTATTATTCCTGACTCATGGAAAAATATCAAGGTTGTTCCAGTGCCTAAATCAACAAGTGGACCTACTGTTAAGTTTCGACCGATTGCTATTACCTCACCTTTTTTAAAAGTTATGGAAAGACTTATTTTACTTAATCTTGAACCCTCTTTAAAGCCTTTTAATGACCCAAACCAGTTTGCTTATAAACATAGTAGGAGTACCTTAGATGCCGCTGTTGTTCTATATCATAATATAGTCTCTAGTTTAGATAGAGGAGCCAAATATGTTCGGTGTGCCTTCCTTGATTACACATCTGCATTTGACTATGTTCGTAAGTCTCTCTTGCTAAGTAAGCTTGCTGCAACACAGAGTGAGAGCTGGACAAATAAGTGGTTGCATTCCTATTTTTCTGATAGGAAGCAGTACACTGTCTACAATGGAAAATCCTCCACTACCTCACTTACTTTAGCTGGTGTTCCTCAAGGTGCTGTTCTTTCTCCTTTTCTGTTTTCTTTTTTCTTACATGACTTGCCCCATTCTGATGTAGCAAATTTTGTCAAGTATGCTGATGACCTCTCTGTTTCCATGCCTGTCAACTCTCAGTCAGACTGTCCCATATTAAATAACTTTCTCTCGGAAATTAGTCAGTGGTCCTCTTCAAACGGTCTTAAGCTGAATCCGTCTAAATGTCAGGTAGTAAATTTCACTTTTAGACGAAAACGTGACCTACAACAACTAGCTAGCTCACATGGTCCCACTATCATTGACGGCATAGAGGTTGAAACTACATCTAATGTCAATTACTTTGGACTGAGTATTTCCTCCGATCTTTCCTGGTCCTCTCACATCTTGCTAGTTACTAGAAAGATGTTTCGCTTAACGTTCTACGTTAGGAAGTTAAGGCACTCTGGTATAAAGCAGTCTTTGCTTTCTCAGTTTGTCAATTCTTGTATTCTAACCATCCCTCTTTACTGCTCCCCATTAATCTTTCCTGGACTACTTAAGAAAGACTTTGCTTCGCTGCATAGGGCACTAAAAGCTGTTAGTAGGGGAAGTGAGATTTCGTTAAACCAACTGGTTGATACTATTGTGGATAGACATATAATGTCATGTAAGAAACTAGCGAATTCTATATTGTCAGACCCCTCTCTATACGCACCTCTCTCCTTGCATTTCATCTGGTAGAACTAGAAGCAACTATAGGAGTCTATATGCCAGGACTACCAAGTACAAAAACTCCACAATACCTTATCTGACACAGCAGTTATGTGATGAGAAAACTGTTAAGTATGAAACGATCACCTTACTGTGGCACTCTAACAAATAGTTCCCATTAGCTTTTGTTCTCCTTTCTTTGTTACTATTATATTGTTGCTCACATATTCTATTACACACTAATTTTATATTTCATATCCTGTGGTGCATTGTTTAATATATGTGAATGCAATGCTGTTCTTTTTTATTTCTTTTATTTCTCTTTTTTTCTTTTTGTTGTTGTTGCTTTTTATTTTTAAAATCTTATAAAAATTAATGAGGTAATTAGATGCAATATTGTAATGCACGCTGAAAATTCCATACCTGTACCACAAATACTGTTTGGAATAAAGCTATTATTATTATTATATTTGAGTCTATTTTCAGCCTTGATCACAACAATAAACGATTGGCTTACTTAAACTTTCTAATACTTTTGTTTTAGACAATGACTCAACCTCGGCAAAATCATCACCGAAACGTAGTCTGATCAAATCAGTTGTCAAAAGGTTACCTATACCTCAATCATCATCATCATCATCATTACTATCAACAACTTCATCTAAACGAAGTGCCAGTGTAAAACCTACTGAGAATATTCCGAATCCAGATCAACCATCCTATGAATTACCACCAATCAAGAATGCTCCACTCTATAAAAAGAGATATCAAAGCCGAAACCAGATGAAACAAACTACTTCGCATAGTATAACTGCCCAAGGTGAAAGCATAAACCGACCGGCGCTTACAAATTCCACCTTAGATTCATGGAAGAAGAAGAAGAATGGTGTTAGTTCATTGTCTAATAAAAGGAATCCCCTGAAGAAGGCAACACCAATTAATCTTGTCTGTCATAGTAATTATGCAGGAAATGGCGATGGCTTTCAGCGTGGAGATGATGATGACGATAATGGTGATAATGATGGCGTTCACTTGCGGTTGAATACTTCTCATACATTGAAAAAGTTATCGAAATAAATTAATGATTATCAGTGTGTACTGTTATTATTATTATTCGCTTGAGTTACGATTGAAACATGGCTGACTGACTGGTTCCAACATAGAACTTTGCACAGATGTCCAGCATTTCGAGTCGCCACTCTTCATGTAGCACACAAATCGAGAGAAGAGAGTAAAGAGAGAGAGAGTTAATAAACAGAAGTGTGAGTGAGGGAAAAAGATTAGTAATATGAAAGTTCAGTAGTTTTAACTGGATATGTCAAATCATAAAGAGTGAATCCATCTGCGCCAGCCATTGGCAACGATGATTTCGAGCTGTATCACTAATTGTCTCCAGCCATTGGTTTTTAGAATCCCGAGGACCCCAACCAAGAAGTTTACACCTCTTTACGTGGCTGCCGTAATGTAACTGTTATGGATTTCATTGACTGATGAACCCATGTTCTTGTTTGACCACGACTAGCTCTTTTCCAACCTGATCAGCCCTGTATTAGCTAACACTGCCTGTTGTCAAGGAAGGCCACTAAGCCTGCCCCAAAAAATCTGCAATGCACCCTAACTTTCTGTGACTGACTAAAGCCTGAGACAATGCACCTACGGTTCCGCATTTAACCCTTAGTTGACAATTAACACATAGTCAATTCTATTATGTACACAGGTCGCCTCAAAAAACAGCAAACTGGCTGTAGCTCAAAGACTCATGATAGCAAAGAGCAGTTGATTTTAATCGAACATACATTTAATAATCTTGGTAAACGAGTTTAAAATCGTTCCACACGTCATAGAAGTAAAACACCTACAAATCACCAGAACCATTCATTCGTGTGCTTTCGGCATCTGGTATGTTCTCTTTGTTTACGTCCGCAGTGATCTGAAAATGAAATTTTGAAAAAACTGAGACCTTCCAAAGGGATAGTTCAAAGGGTCAGCATCCTCCAAAACTTTTGTTGTCGGTTTCGAAGCACTGGGAAGAGCAGTCAAGAATAATAGCTTACCGGTTTACCCTGCATTGGCTTGCAGGCTCCGTGTCCTCAGATGACGAGCCCATAAATGATGTGGGCAACCTCTGCATGTCTCATGACTTCAGCAGACGAATACGACCGGGGGATAATCAATGATTTACCAGCAGCCCACACCTCGCTAACTGTGTGCGTGTTATAATTTACGCAAGTGAATGCGAAAGTAAACTCACCATTTGGTTGTATCCTTGGTATCGGTCAACTGTGGCTCACTGTAAACTAATGAGTAGTCAATAAGTCACGACAATTTAGAGGTGGGCAATATGAAAATTATAGCGGAGTTATGCAAAAGACTTAAGCTAATGCACTTCGCCCGAATTTCATTGAAAGTGTGTATACTTGTCTCACACTCTAAGTTATCTACCTTATGTATTCCAATATCCTTAGAATCCAATGGGTGTTCAAAAGACTGAAATGGGAAGCATGAGAAAGTGTTTAGTGGTCTGTGCTGTCGTACGTCCTCACATATATGAAGTAAGCCATGGACATTGTACACCATATTATCCTCCCCAAATAATGACTTAAAGTTCCTACGAATTTCAACAATAAATTTTTAACGTCATCGAGATAATACGAAGAATAAGTTGGATGACTTAAGATGTAACAGGCCGGGAATAAATCGAGAAAATTGTCATGAAAGCAAGATGGTAATACGTCTTTCAGGTATACGACTCCTAAATATAAAAGAAACAGCCGGCACTCTGTTGCTTTCCAACGGACAACCTCGTCTAATGTTCGACACACGCTGGAATTCAGAAGGACTCAACTTATGTGAGATAAGTAGTCAAGAGTTAACAGTGTTTAAAATAGTATTATTCATGCCGTATTGTCTAGCTGTGGCCATCACTTTCCAAAGACAAAGCAACTTTCGAACTACACCTAAGTATATGAGATCCATGCTTGTTAGCATGAAAAAAGTGAATGGATCCAGCTGTTCCATACATTTAAACATTCAGGCCATTTACAGAGTCGTTAGTCATATAGTCAATGGGAGAAATAACTAGCCAAAACGATAATAGAAATTCACACAAGATGATCAAATTCACAAGGTGTAAATTAATTTCCTACTAGAAATTTACACATTTAGAGGTAGAATTTCAAAACACTTCACTTCAAAAAGGGAGACAAATGAACCACTGTCAATGATGATTTCAGTGAGTGTGTTGGTTGATGCCAGGTAGAGTGGTGATGTACGCCGCTAGTGATGTTGACATAGATGTTTGCAGTGATGAATGTGTAGTGCGTTGCTGACGCCCAGGAAGAGGAGTCGCGATGGCCGAGTGGTTAAGGCGTTGGACTCGAAATCCAATGGGGTTTCCCCGCGCAGGTTCGAATCCTGCTCGCGACGTGCCTTTTATCAAATCCATCCACAACTCCAACTTGTCAAGGCGTCGCACGATAATTGAAAGCAGTGGGTCACATACTCCCCTTAGTCTACAGTTCATTATATGACAACCGTATTTCAACATTCATTTGCAATCTGTGATCCATTGAGATGATTGCGATATCACAGTCATATTTCATATTAATTTCCCTTGTTTCACGTAAAGTTAGCCTCAAACTTACAACAAATCTAAACTTATTCTAACCTATGCGTCGACAATGCCTTTTTATGATGGGAAATGAATATTTTATCTACCCACTATGTTCTGAAATAACACTGGTCGTGCTTTTAAAGAGAGCTGGGTGCTTAATTAATGCGACAAAATCTTAAAAATACGATCAGCATCTGAAATAATGCCACTTTAGTGCTGAAAATAAGCACTGCAGGTTTGCCTAACTGCTGTGGTTAATACTGAAAAATAGCACTCTCTCTGTGGACATAGTATATTGAGACCAACCAATCCTCAACGTGTAGGTTTCACACAGCATATGTGGTGTGACGGCAACAGAGTTGTCTGGGAATTACATAGAATTTGATTGGTCTATTTGACCAGAGGTGTGACAGTAAATAAGAATACTAAGGAAACATAATTCAACTGGAGGGGGGTAGGGGAATATGAATTGGTCACATAAGAATATTGTAATGAATAATATATTTCGTGTACGGCGCTGTAATCAATTACAATTCAGCTGAGTCGAGGTTACATATGAAAAAAAAGTTTTAAGTCAGGTACGATGTGTCTAATATCCATTCGATCTACCAGCTATGGGGGAAATTTGACCCACATATTTTAGTCGGACACTCGGCACAAGATATTTTTTGTAAATTACATTGATTTTATCCATCATTTTTATAGGATATTTCAGTTGATTTATTGTATTTTTAATTAGATTTGTCGGTTGAAACGTGGTGCGAATCCCAATATTCTTGAGGTTTCTCTGAATTGCGTCTGATGTGCCATTTTTGTGTGGTATCATGACTAATTGATTACAAACCCTGCTTTCAACACTAAGTAACTTTCCAAAATTTATTCCTGTCAGGCAGTTTTAACAGGTCTAAAACTGAATTTTCAACATAGAGCTTCGAGAAAAAGCCCACTAGTTCAAGTTGGCCTACTTCACAAAACACACGTGAAGGTTGAAGACAAAGAAGTAAAGAAAATATTGTGAAGACAGATATTGACGAATGAAAGGATAATTATATGGAGAACAGTGAGAATTCAAAGGATCTGCGAGATCCAAGTGAGTGAATATCTCAGCCCCGTCGAGAATAATTTTCAGCCATAACACCAGCAGTCTGTAGACACTGGTTCTTAGTATCACGTAAACCGCAGCTAGGTAGTCTGCATCTCCTAATACGGCTCTAATCAGTTGGTTGTGCAATTCCCGGAATTCTAAACTCTGTCATAACCTTGTAGTGTACATTGAACCTTCGAACTTTTGTTTGAACGAACTCACCTAATCTTTAACCCCTTTTCCTCTTTCGATTCGTGAATCTCCTGTACGGTTTCGGTTTCGCTCCCTCGCTGTGCTTTCATGCAGCACACTCTCCGAGCTTACCACCGTCTCGACTGCAGATAAGTGTATGCCCTCTTATTCTTTATCAAATCTCATATCTCTTTTGTGTAAATATAACTCTGTTCCAGTCACGCTAGTCATCTCAAGTCTTTTTACCTTGATTCAGTTCGTTAGTATTTGCACATTAGGCAGAGTACAATTAAGGTCATAAAGCGGTGAAGAATTTTTTGTAAGAGTGGCTAATTTAGGTCAAAGTTAACCCAAGTCTAACTCTTACAACCTGTTGATTTTGAATTTTAAAACTTAAATACCACACTGCATCATTCCAGCTACAATCGGTGAAGATGAGTATTCCAAAGCTGGCCACGACCGGGAAAGTAGGACAAACCTTCATTACTCTTAAGTCAGTCTACAAATCTACTGCACTCAGCATGAAGAACAAGATCTTAATTTTCAACACTAATGTAAGCTAATCGGCGTTGGTGGGACAGTGGTAGGAGGCTCACCAACATCGCAGGTGGTCCGGGATTTGATCGCCGGCCGACTAACTCCTTTATCTCACTAAGCTTTTATTAAAACTGGTAAAGAGGGAAGGTTGGTCATGAGGATAGCAACCCCATCCCATAAAAGTAATCACCACTGCTACAGAAACTTCAAGCCTCTAGTCTGAAGCCCTATGTTCCAATGGGAACGTAAAGGAATAAAAAAATGTTAGCTCAGTACTTTTATAAGGTGTATGAAGACATGTTGACCTCATGACGGAAAGCATTACCATTAGGCCACAGACTTTTACCAACCTACTGAAGATCAAATGGCCCCCTGGGAAGGATAAGTAACTAGAAAATTTGGCAGCGAACCAGCCAAGAGCCTATTTATTACCCAACGAATATGCGGGAAGAAATACAGTTGGACTGGACATACTCTGAGAATAGAAGTCAAATGGAAAGTAACGGGCTTATCATCTGAAAGTGACATGAACAGAATTTTTTTAGGAAGGATATAATGTCTTCAGGCAGTCATGCAGATATCTGAAAATGAAAGCAGAGCAATGAGTATAATGTAAATGTGCGAGGGATGCCATATGTCCCACTCGAAATA